CCCACTTGGCTGTAGCCTGGAGACCTCCAGGGTGTCCCCCTCTGCTGGTTCCCCCAAACTCCACTGACTCTCCTTTCTGCCTCCTCCCAGGCCAGGGACCGCAAAGTCCTCCGTGACTACAGCGGAGCACTCAGCTACGGCTCCACCGCCAAGTACCTGAACATTGCTGGCCTGATGCTCAACATCCTGTTCCTCATCCTCATTGTCGTCCTGGTTGCTACCGGCGCCCTCCGTGCTATGGCCATGGCCCCACACTAGCAGGATCATCAGCCCTTCCTCAGCCCCATCTAGCCCTTCCCATGCTCTGTGGGCAGCGCATTCCCCCCTACATCTGCCAGGAGCCCCCGGTTGCCACTCGGAGCAGGGAAGGGATGTCCTCCGCATGGTCCCCTGGTGCCTGCTGCAATCTTGCCCTGCTTTCCTCTCTGTCCAAAGCCACTGTGGAGCCCTTTCTGAGCCACCCTTGCTGGCCTTCCTGGAAGTGCCTGGAGATACCTCTCCTCCGGCAGGAGCTGAGCACCCAAAAACTGTCTGCAACAAAGGGAGTGTGCTTTTCTTCTTGCTGCTTCGCTCTCATTTTGTAGCTACCAAGTGCCTCCCAGAATAATCCCCAAAAGTGCTTCATTTGGAGAAAACCTGATTCAAATAAAGGTTTCTTTCACTTTTGCCCCTGGCTTGTTTTCATTTTGGCAGGAGGTGGTTTGGGGTCACCCCACCCTGGCTTGGCCAACTGGGAAATGGTGTCGCCGCTAGGGACACGCCTGGAAAGGGAAATTGTCTCTTTGCGAGGAGTGTCACAAAGGTGATGCTCAAGGATGTGCCAGACTCGGTGAACCCGGATGCTCATGGGGAGGAAGTGTCTGTATGGGATGCAAAGCACTTATAAGTCTCACCCCAAGGATGCACCCCCATCCTCACTAACTTTCAGGAGGAGGGGCTAGGAGCAAGTGGAGCCAAGAGCAAGCTTGATTTGGGGGTGGGAAGAGGCTGTGCAAAGGGCCTGAGCAAGATGAGCTCGAGTACGGCTCTGGACGGCCACTCGCAGGGCAGCAAGGCCGGGAGAGGCGTTCAGAGGGAAGAGGAAGCTGTGGATGCTGTGGCTCCATTACAAATGGCCTTGCTGCAGGAAGGTGTGGGACCACCAGGTGATGGGGATCCCAGCCAGGCAGGGCTGCTTTTGGGGTGGAGCGAGCCAGCGTCCCTCACCTCCCTTCCCCTCCAAAGCTTTTTGAGCATCAAGCCTTCTCACCAGCCACCCCCAGCATCTTGGTGCAAGGACTGGCTGGGACACGGTTCTTGTGCCTCTGGGGTAGCCAGCACATGGCACTTGGCTACTCAGCTCTGGCTGTGTCCCAAGTGACCCGGACAAAACTCTGGGAAAATTCCTGGCAGAGCTTCAAGTATGCGGCTGGCCTGGCTTCCCCTCTCCCCGATCGCACGAAGCCTTTGTGCTCCTTGCCCTCAGCAGGCTCAGGGCTCCTCGAGGCTGGGGCCCTATGAGGATGGGGGGAAAAAAAAGCCTTTTCTTTCTTATTTCCCCCCCTCCTTTCCCAAAAAGCATTAGGCTTCTGCCAAGAAGCCACGCTCATGAGTCAGATGTCAGAAATCCTGCCCTCAAAACACCACAGTTATTTGTTGCAGGATCCCCGGCACTGACCTGGTGAATCACTTATTCCTCTGTTTTATTTCTTCCCGTAAAAGCAAACAAGCACGTGCCCTCAGCTACAAACAGGGCCGCTCGCTGCCACCAGCATCCCTGCCAGTGGGACACAGGATCAAACGTCCCCATCCAGCTGTGGGGGTTGAGACTTTTAATTGATTTCTTTTTTTTTTAAGAGCAGCAAATCCCTGCTTGTAAACATCTCCCTGACCTTTCCGGCTCTCGGCTGCTCTGTCATAGAGCTGGCAGCAGCCCCATCCCATTATACAAGGGGCTGGCAGCGTGCCGGCGGGGTGTGCTGGATCTTCCCACTTTCTCCTCAGTCCCGGCAGGAGCGGGATCAAGGCTGGATCCCTTGATTCACATCGCTGCCCTGGAGGGGGTTGATGCCTCTCTGTGCAGACATAATGCGGGTGGGCTCACTGTGCACCCCCTGGAAGCTCTTCCCTCCTCCTCGATCAGCCAACACAGGCAAAAAATCCCGGGGTATGACTTCCTAGGGGTGCTCTGCAGCCCAAAACCCACCCAGGCAGTCCCAGGATGGTGTCAGAGAGGGAGAAGCAGCACCTCATTCTCTGCACCACCCCAGAATCTTCCCATGCCTCCCCAGAGGGCAACGGAGGGGTTTCAGCATGAGGATGCCCCTCAGTGCCGGGTCCTGGTGGGTGCCAGGAGGGAGCCAGGTGGAACAATGGGCGCAGGGTCAGGGGGCTTTAAAAGCGGGGAGAGCAAAGCCCTTTTTTGGGGGTAAATCCACCCAATTCAGGGATGGTCACCTCGCAGCAGGAAGGGGCAGGGCTCCGAGGATGAGAACAGCCTGTTCCCTCACCTAGGACAATTGCTCCATGCTGTTGGCAAGCAGCCACCAAGCCCTTGAACTCCTGGCCACGCTACCAGAAGCGAGCGTCGAGACAGCAGCTGTCCCCGTGCCGGCCTTTGGCGAGCCCTGTAAACCAGTGAGCCACTCTTGACCCAACCAAACCCCATAGACCTAACGGTCCCGTGTCTGCCTCACAGATTCTTCCAGGCATGCAAAAGCCACTCACTTCCCTGGCGTTTTGCTTTCCTGCACCGTTCCTCCAGCCCTTTTCCCAAAAGCTGTCACCCGTCGCATGTCCTTAATGCTACCCAGCCCCACTCAGGAGCATCCCCGGGGACCAAACCCCCTCCCCAAGGGCTGGGGGTGCGGGTGGGAATGGTGCTGGGCAGAGACACCTGGCCAGCAGCAGCAGCAATGGGGGTTGAACTTTGTCTCTCTGCTTTCCAGCCTCTCGTTCGCTCAGCTGCAAAGGCAAATAAATGAAAAAAAGAAAAGCTGGAAAACGCGGACGGGGAGGTGGCAATTTCAGCGGGTTGGCACCAAGCTTGGTGAGACGCCAGCCATCATCCCACTTGTGCCGGGGGGTTTGTGGGAAATGGGATCCCGAAGCACACACTTGGTAACAATGGGCCAGGAACGAACTGGCTGTGCTTAGTCCTTGCAGTTGCTGGTCACCCCTGGCCACCATCCCAACACTGCGGGCTCCTTCACCTCCACGTGAGCTGGAGAAACAGGTGATGCTCTGTGGAGGGAACCTGGCACCCCAAAATGGGGAAATCTCCATCCAAACTCCTGCAAGCAGGTTTTTCTGCAGCGCCATACATCAGGCATTTGGGCTGGAGCACAAACACCTCCTGAAATCCCCACCGAGCCCGAGCCCTCCTCCATCCATCCCCTTGTCCATCCCCACCGGCCTCACCACTTCCTGTAGGGATTCCTTAATTATCACTACAACCTGACGAATCTCATTAACCTCAGCCAGAGGCCCTGTGCCACCAAGAAAGTAGCTGAGAAAAAAAGAAACAAAAAAACCTCCATTTCCTGTAGTTTCGAGACAAGTGACATCAAGGGCTGGGGCTTTCAGATCCACACCCAAATTACTGTGACAGTCAGAAATCTCACACCTGATGATGAACGCCTTTGCTCTCCTCTTGTCATAAACCATCCACTCCTCCTGAGAAGGGAAAAACCCATTTCTCAAAAAGAAATACCAGGGCTAGGTTTCTCTTTATCAGTCTCTCACTGGGCCTACAGGAGCCGAGCATTGAGCAGGAAGGATGCTGACGTTTTCAAAACTCACAAAGTTTGTAGCTCTGTGCTCTGTTGCTCTTTTGTTTCAGTTGGTTTTGACCTCCTTGCTGCTTTCTTGAAGCTTTCATCTTTCTTTTTCCATCCCCCAACCTATTTTGGCAGCCACAAGACCTCGTCATGGCTGCAAGATGCTCATCACGGATGTCAAAACCAAAGGAAATAGAAAACCTTTGATACCCAACCTTCAAACCCAAAGGAGAGGTGACCCTCACTACTGCAGATGGGGACCGAGCCCTTGGGGGTGGTTTGCAGCTGAGGAAGGGGTTTCGGGGGCGCTGTCCCCTGGCAGTGGTGCGTCCCTGCTGTCCTCCCATGCCTCATGTAACCCCAGCAGTGCGCCTCTGCCCTGACCTGCCCAGGGCAGAAATGGCTTTATCAGCCTGAGAAGGCAAAAACCAAAGAGGAACAGGCAAGGTGCCCATGCCATGGGCACCCCTTCTGCCTGCCCCTCCAAACCACCCCCAGGGCTGCAGCTCTCCCTAAGCCCCCCCCACTTACCTGGGGAGCACTCCCCGCTTCACTGCCCACCTCCAAAGGAAGCCAGTGCATCTACCCCGGTGTGCTTTGCGTGGTGTTGGGTGGGGTGGCCCCACCCCGGTGAACCTTTCCTCTGGCCTATATCTACCCCCGGCACCTGCACCTCTGCTTCTCATCAGTGCCGGGCTGCCATGGAGAACTACCCGCAGTCTGTCAGCATCAACATGCAGCCCTACGGCAAGAACCAGGGTTCTGCGGCCACCCCCTTCAGCCACACCGTCACCTCTCCTGTTTTGATGGAGCCTGTCCCCAGGGACTATGTGCTCTGGTCCTTCTTCAACAGCATGTTCTGCAACCCCTGCTGCCTGGGCTTCATCGCGTTCATCTATTCCATTAAGGTAAGGGGAAAGTCACCTCTGTCCCACCAACCCTCTGCCCGGCTCAGGGGTCCCATCTGCTGTCTGCCCCCATGCCAGGGGTACCGAATCCTGTCTCTTTCTGTCCCATCTTGCCTCACTCCATCTCACCAAATCCCAACCTGTCCCAGCTGGTCCTAGCTTGCCCCAGACTGCCACATCACCACCTCGCTCCCCATCCTTCCTCCCATAAGATGTCCCCCCACTTCCTCCTGCCCCATCCAGCCCCACCACACAGCTCTGCATGCAATGTCCCCAGCAATGCCACCGTTTGAGGGCTGCTCATCTTCCTTCAGTGCTTTGGGAAAGAGGCCCCCGGGTCCGGCTCTCCTCCTGCAGACTCAAACAAGCCCCGAATTGTCTCCCACCTGGGTCGGGGTGGGGAGGGATGATAAAGCGGGCAGCCAGCTCCCAGCTCCCTCCTGTAGTGCCCTGGAAACCACTGTGAAGTTCGCCCCTACCTGAGATCCCAGAATGACAGAATATGAGGAGTTGGAAGGGACCTCCAAAGCTCATCGAGTCCAACCCCTGCCAGAGCAGGATCACCAGACCAGGTCACACAGGAACACGTCCAGGCGGGTTTTGAATGTCTGCAGAGAAGGAGACTCCACAACCTCTCTGGGCAGCCTGGGCCAGTGCTCTGTTACCCTCACAGTAAAGAAGTTTTTCCTCATGTTCAGATTGAACCTCCTATGCTCCAGCTTGCTCCCTTTGCCCCTTGTCCTGTCATTGGCTGTCACTGAGATAAGAAATGGCTGCTCCCTGCACACTTTTCCTTTATTACCTTGAAAGCTAAACACTTTTAATGGGCACTTTGATAACCGCAAAGTGCACATTGGCATCTGCAGGCCCTCCCAACTAGACTCCCCTCCTCTGCCCAGCTCTCCCCGCTCCTGTGCTGCCACCCCGTCCCCCAGGAAGACTGGGCAGTGCATTCCAAGCGTAATGGTTTTTAATAAGCCATTAAAAAAGTGCTTTCAGGCTGCCATGAGCTCCGTTTCCGCCGTGTCAGAGTGGGTTTCCTGAGGTTGCAACAGAGCCTGGTGGATCCTGCTGCCAGGCTTCGGCAAAGCCAGCTGCTCATGGCCAAAGGAGACCGGGATGTCCCCTCAGTCTGTCGCCGTCACCTCCATCTCGAGTCACTTCACTCTCAATCTCCCTCTCCCCATCTGCAGGCCAGAGATCGTAAAATCGCCCAGGACCTGGCAGGGGCCAGCACCTACGGACAGTCAGCCAAGAAGCTCAACATCATCGCTGTCTGCGTGGGCGTCCTGACCATCATCCTCAGCATCGTGCTGCTCGTTGTGTACTTCAGCACCTTGCTGACAATCCTCAACCCATAACGCCGACCCATTGAGGAGCAGTGGCACCAAGGCCTTGTTTTCATCTTCCCCTCCAACCTGCTCAGCTGAAACACACTGACTGGGCTCACGATGGAGATATGTGGCTCCTGGGGGACCCTTGCTCCCTGCTCCCACTGTACAAGGCGGTGACCGCAGGGACGCTCCTGGTGCACCCTCACTGAGCCAGCCCTCTTCAGCGTCAACCCGTGGGGTGTACTTGCAGGAAATAAAGCTCCTTCGCCTCCCTTCTCCTTGGAAATGTTGTGCCTTTGGGTTTCGGGAGGCGTTATTCCACCACACCCCTCCAGGTATTCTCGCTTCAAAACTCAGATGAGCAGGGAACAAGGAAGAGCAGCAGGAAATGGGCTTGGAAAGAAGGTGCCATGTTGGGGCTGTTAGATAAATATTAATGCACACAGGCCCCTTCCTCAGGCTTCTGGGGTGTTCAGAGACACCCCCACCCCTCTTGTGCTTCCTCCTGCCCACGTTATCGCCCCTGCAAGAAGAGGGCCCACTGGGCTCTGCAGCCCCTGGCGAGGAACCCAGGGCTTGGGGGGGTCCCCACCGTTCCTTGCATCCGTCTGCCCCTCATTTCAGAACCTTGCAACCACCCGCCAAGGCCCGACCCGGATGCCACCTCCCCACCTTTGCTGCTGAGGGAGCAGCTCCACAGAGGGGATATTTGGCTTTTGAGTCCCCCAAATTCCCTTGAGACCCCTTTGAATCTCCCAAGTCTCCTCTGAGCTCCCCAAGTCCCCTTGAGAACCCTCTGAGTCCCCCACATCCGAGTCCCCACAGC